TATATACCTTCACTCATTAATGTATGTAAAATAATATATAGGTTAATATGTAAAGAAACCAGAAATATAATTTATAGTGATAAATGTGATACAGAGAAATGAAGTACAATGGGTAAGTGAGTTGAGTTGAGGTCGTCATACAAGGAAGGCTTGCTGATGAAGTGAGGTTTGTGGTGAGAGCTGATATTAATTATAAAGATAAGAAGTGGTAATCCATGTGGACACAAGACCTCTTTGTCCCAGGGGGGATGCAGAAAAATCTGATTTTGCATGAATCCATATTCAACAAGTGACTCCTCTGAGTTAGAACAATGGCTTCTAGAAGACCCTTGTTTAAATAAAAAGTTATTTATAAGTTGAAGCCATTAGCCATCATCACCTTTACATGAAGTCAGAGTGGTTATCTAGTCATCTGGTAATATTAAAAGGACAGAAAAGGCCATTAGAGAAGGTGGTCTGGATGGACAGGGTGGTCTGGACGGACAGGGTGGCATTGGCCATTACTAACAGTAGGAACAGAATGGAGGGGGGCAGGGGAATAGGCCTGGGAGGCCAGCCATAGCCCGTGGGCCCTGAGCCATTGGTGGCAGGTGAAATACATTGTCTCGTGGTGCTTACCACTGGTATCTTCTCCCTAACTTACTCCATGTTAAAGCAGCTGCTTGTGAAGGCTCTCTCAACGTTCCCCACAGCAAACTTTTCTAGCTCACACAGAGGTTTTCTGAGCTTCACGGCTGTGAGGGAAGGGTGTTATGAAGTGGTGATTAAAGATGGGAACATGGTGGCATTGTATGCATGGAGATTTGGTTTGTGGCCTGCTCGATTTTCCAGGGGGCACTGTACCAGGAATTCACCTTGAAAACAGTGGTGTCTGAAGGAGATGAGTCCCCATCACCGCAAAGAAATTCAGACAGAAATACTCCCGAGAACTACAGGATTAGAGTTACAGATGCAACCTTTAGTGTGAATGTTGGCAGTCCAGAAGAGGTCAGCTCAGGGCAAGAGCTGCAGGAGTGGCTTGGAAGCCAGGTGCGGGCAGGCTGGAATCAGCTACCTAGAGTTCCACAGCCACAGGGAAAGGAAGCAAGAGAGGAAAGAGTCCAGGAGGGCGCAGCAAGGGGCGGAGAGAGCAAGGTCACAAGGAATTGCAGCAAGGACAGAAAGTTCCCTCATATCCCTCATAACACAGTCCTTTCTCTGGGGTTTTGGCAACATCCTTAAAGAGAGAAAGATCAGGGTCCAGCGTTCACAAGCCTAGCGCTCTTCCTGGTTGCCAATCAATGCCTCTTAGGAAAAACTGATGGTCATCCCCAAACTTACAACCAGGGCAGCACCGTTTGGAAGGAGGCAGTTTTTGTCTAACCAAACTTGTTATCTGATTATCCATTTGCATATTATGTGGGGCCGTGGCTCAAGTGACCACTTGTTGTTTCTATACTAAAGAAATGTGAGGAGGCGTTTCCTGGAGCAGAAATGTCTAAATCCAGGTGTTCCTACAGGCTGTGTGCTGATTGGACTGTTGCTCAGGTCAAGGTCAAGCTGCCACCACCTGCAGCTCTGACTCTCACTAACTTGTGGAGAGAAAAGGGTGTTAATGATGACCTTCTAAAGACGGTAAGGATGCATTTGCATTCTTCACCCATATATTACAAGGATCTGCATGTATGTGTATTCTGAGAGCTGGGAGTAGTTAAGCATAGTAGTCCTGCATTTAATCTCTTCTTATGAACTGTAACTTCTTTCTAAAATGTATTTTTAGAAATGTTACCATATATATTTTGTTTGTAGTTTTATGTATTAAAATTGATCGACTCTAAGGACAAATATTGGAATTAATATTCCACCTGTGATCAAAAGACACAGTAACATGTTATAATTCTTGACTTCTTCTTTGGAGGTTTCTTCTCTGGGGGCCGGGACACTAGACTCTCCAGGTATACTGCCAATTCCACTGGCCACTCCTCCTTGGTCTTTGCTGGATCTCCCTCACCTCCCCTAACTTTTCACATCTAGCCAAAGACCTGTTTCTAGACTCATTTGCTTTGTTGTCTCATCTACTGTGTGGCTTTAAATGCCATCTCTGTGCTGTCAACTTACATTTTACTTCTCCAGCCCAAACTCTTCATCTAAACTCCAGATTCATAAATCCACCTGCTTACTCAGCCTCCATTTGATGTCTACTGCATCCAATTTTCTCCAATCCAATTATGTTAACTTCATCCTTCTTGTTGTTCAGGACCCAAACCTAAAAGCTGTTCTTAACTTTTGTCTTTCTCTCAAAATCCACATCAAATTGTCAACAAATCTTGTTGGATATGCCTTCAAAATGTACCTTGAATCTATTTCTCACTACATCCACTACTATTACCCTGGTCCATCATCTCCCCCTGGACCACCATACTACCCTCTTACTTCTCTCCCTGCCTCTGACTTTGACCCCCCAGTAGGCTCTTCCCAACTCAGTAGCCAGTGTGCTCCTGTTGAAATGCAACTCAGATCTGGTCACTTTTCTATTCAGAGCCCTCCGATGGCTTCCCATTTCCCTCAGAGTGAAAGACACAGTTCTCACAGTGACCACACAGTCTGCACCCCATATCTCCTCCCGCTCTGCACTGCTCTCTCTCCTCCAGTCACACTGGTCTCATTGTTCCTACAACACACCTTGCATGCTGCTGCCTGGCAGCCTTTGATTTGCATGTCCCAGGCTCTTCCCCAGATACCCATGTGCCATTTTCCTGAATAGTACCTTCTCCATGCACCCTTCCCTCACCATGTGATTTAAAATTGTGGTTTTCCTTCCTACCTTGTTTGTCCCTATTCCCTTTCCCTGTCCTAATTTTTGCCATAGCCCTCTTCAGCAGCTAACATATTACAGTTACTCTACATCACTCTTTGCTATTGTTTGTCTCCCTCTAGATGCCACAGGGGCAGAGAGTGTCTGTGTTGTCCTCTGCTAAATCCCCAGTGCCTGGGCACTCAGTCCACTGGGTTGATGGACAGAAGAAAGTCTTTCTTGGGGTGCCTGGGTGGCTCAGTCAGTTGAGTGTCTGACTCTTGACTTTGGCTCAGGTCATGATCTCAGGGTTCTAGGACTGAGCCCAGCATTGGGCTCCACGCTCAGCCAGGAGTCTGGTTGGGGATTCTCTCTCTCTCTCTCCTCTGCTCCTCTGCCCTCTCATGGGTGTGCTCTCTCTCTCTCTAAAATTAATTAATTAAAAATAAAAAGAAAGTCCTTATTTAAGAAGATAATAATTGAGATAAATCTTACTAACAAAAGATCTGATTAAAAACCAGGTTTCTCAAACTGAGGGTTGCTGGAGTGGTGGGGGGTGGGAGGGATGGGGTGGCTGGGTGATGGACATTGGGGAGGGTATGTGCTATGGTGAGCACTGTGAATTATGTAAGACTGATGAATCACAGACCTGTACCTCTGAAACAAATAATACATTATATGTTAAAAAAAAAAAAAAAAGAAGAAGGTAGTAGGAAGGGAAAAATGAAGGGGGTGGAAATCAGAGGGGGAGACAAACCATGAGAGACTATGGACTCTGAGAAACAAACTGAGGGTTCTAGAGGGGAGGGGGTGGGGGGATGGGTTAGCCTGGTGATGGGTATTAAAGAGGGCATGTACTGAATGGAGCACTGGGTGTTACACGCAAACAGTGAATCATGGAACACTACATCAAAAACTAATGGTTAATGTATGGTGATTAACATAACATAGTAAAATTAAAAAAAATCCAAAAAAAAGAAGAAGATAGTAGGAAGGGAAAAATGAAGGGGGGGAAATCAGAGGAGGAGACGAACCATGAAAGACTATGGACTCTGAGAAACAAACTGAGGGTTCTAGAGGGGAGGGGGGTGGGAGGATGGGTTAGCCTGGTGATGGGTATTAAGGAGGGCACTTATTGCATGGAGCATTGGGTGTTATATGTAAACAATGAATCATGGAACACTACATCAAAAACTAATGATGTAATGTATGGTGACTAACATAATAAAATAAAATTAATTAAAAAAAAAAAGAATTGGGACACACACACACAAACACAAAAAAAAACCACACCAGATTTCTTAGTATTGTACCATGTACTCAGTAGGCACGCTATAAAACACATTTGAGATGATGAGATATTTTATGGCCTGTTTTTCTTTCTTTTTTTGGGGGGGGGGGGAAAAGACAATTGCCGTGTGAAATGCAAAAGCATGGATCCAAAAAAAACTGCTCCAACATTTTCTTGTATATCACTGTCAATATTTGGAGACTGATTTCCACTAAAAACATTATTTTAGATGGTGTTATTCTTCTTCAGATCTGAGGCTTTCTTAATCAACTTAATGAAGAATATTTTATTCAAAACTGATTTTATTCACTTTATAGCTTTATTTTCTTCCATCAGTAAAATTTACAATTTTTGAAATCTAGAGGGTAACTATGAAAGTAATTGAAAGTCACAAAAAATAGTTATTCTGATGAGTGCTCATGGAAATTATATTTTACTTCATCAGGGTTTTTTTGGTGCTAGCTAAAGGTTAGAATAATTTCACCAAAAATTAAAATGCACGGCACACTCATATTTGGTTTCTTATTACCATTTCCACCAAAAGGAACCCGAACTTCTTAGAGAAATGGCTCGTTCCAGACCTGAGGCAAGGAAAATGCAAGTTGTGCCTGAGAATCCTGTTGTGTTTGAAAGCAAGAAAATTCTCAAGAGCTAAGAGGATTATGTCAAAAGGATAAAAGAGTATGCTAGAAGGGGCTCTTCCTGGCCAAATTTGGGATAATTTGATTATCAAAAACAATGACAGAAACCATTTACAACACATTGATTTGAACTAAATTCACAAAGCAATAATAACTATCCCCTCACTACCAGAGAGAGAGAGAGAGAGAAAGGGGTGTGAGGAAGAAGAAACTTTTCTTAAAGCAGAATGTCAGCTATTAAATGGAGGGGGAACAATAGAACTAAAGATCGCCATTTTGTAGTCCCTGCTAAAAATCATTGGTAAAAGATGGTTGGGTTACAGAGTGTTCCTGTAGAGATTACTTGTTCTGCACAAAGAGAAAACTTTCACTTTTCAGTGGAAAGTGATAGCAGTTACCCCTTGAACTAAATGACCCAATTTGAAATTACTAGTAGTGGGACATCTTCACATTACATCTCCCTGAGGTGGTACAATCGGAAGTTTACATTGCCATAGAATGTTCTTGCGATAAAGCTGAATCTAGTGAGGCCACTAGATTCCACTTCCACTTACAGGAAATCCACAGTATAGATGAACAAGTGAAACTCTATGATGAAACACACAGACAAATCTAGAACATGGTATATTCAACAAGATAACTTGACTCTTTAAAAAAAAAATCCAAATAAATAAATAAATAGATAATAAATAATAAAAAATCCATTGTCATAGGAAAAAAAAGAAGAGTAGGGGGACTATTCTAGATGTAAAAAGTACAGAGATACAACAACCAAGTAATGTATGAAGTTATTTTGATGTTAAGAAAAAAAATCTATAAAAAATATAGGAAAACTAGGGAAATTTAAATATGGAATGGATATTAAGTGATGTTATGAAGCTATTTTTACTTTCCTTAGGTTTTTGGGTTGGTTTTTTTTTTTTTTTTTTGGTTTGATAATGGTATTTTGGCTATTAGGAGAATATCTTTATTCTCAGGAAATGATGCTGAGGTACAAGAGTTAAGTGGCATGATGTTTGCAATTCATTTACAAATGAATCAGGGAAAAAAGCAAATAGATGTATGTATACTTATATTTACACACACTTACATGCATACATATATGTATATATGTATATATAAATATTTAGAGAGCATTCATAAATGTGGCAAAATATTAAAAATTAATCTTGGTAAAGCATACATAGGTATTTATTATACTATTTTTAAAATTTTTCTGAATCATGAAAAATTTTCAAAATAAAAAGTTGGGAAAAGTAAAAATGCATGTAAATTAACTTTAAAAACCTACTACTGCAATGATGTTTTGTCCTTTGATGAACTGTTTTAGGAATATTTCATTTGTATCATGTCTTGATAAATTTAATTTTAACAGAAAATAGCAGCCACTACCAGGATCAAGAAAGTGGAACTTGCTGTCAAGTCCTGGCTACATAACCTTCATGACTTTGGGCAACTCACTTTTGCCCCCTGAGGCTTGGTTTGCTCAATTGCATAGTGAGAATAATATCCTGCCCTCCCACAAGACATGATGATGATATTATAAGCAATTACAAGGCATGCCTTCAACCCCAAGTAATATATTGGTGGATTCCTTTTTCTTCTCCTGTGAAGTGAAAATAATTTCATGAAAAAGGAGAATTGGACTGGAGGCTTTCATGAATAGCTTACCTTTCAGACCACAAAATCTACATGCAGCCACAAACACTGCCGATTCCATTTCAGTATTTTGCCCTCTGGCTTTATATGCTCTCTTCAAGAAATGTAGCTTTTCTTCTCTGGAAAAGGGCCCCAATGCTCCGTCTAGCTGACCTGGCCTAAAAGAGAGTGGAGAACTCTTAGCAACTTGATGTCCTACCAGCGTGGCAACAGCATCACTAAGGGGCTTGCTGGGGACCCAAGTGCTCGATGGCTAACTCTAATGCTTGGGTCTGCACTCCTGGTAGGACAAATCCAGCCATCTGAACCATCCTATCAAGGAACCTGGAGCAAGGCTGTGCCCGGCTCGGGTATCTTGTTGAAAGGAGTCTCCATGATGTTGAGCACTCCAGCTCTGGGGCAGGTAATCATTGAGTGACCACTGCAGCTAGGACTGTACTGGGACAGCAGGACCCAGAGGGCTGCTAGGAGATCTGCCCTTTGAGGAAAACCTCAGGTTGCTTCCATGACTGGGGGATGGCTCAGGGACAGGTGCTGGCGGAGAAGAAGCAGCTTCAAGCCTCCTGAAGCTATTGAGGATCAGGAGGGTGGTTTGGACGGTGCAGTTCTCCATCTCTGTGAGGACAGTGCTAGCTGTATATAGGCAATTGACTTGTCCCCTCTCTCCCCTGCCACACATGTCTCAGGCTGCATGCCACCCTTTTGTGATCGCTTTTTCCCTGCTAGGCTGCTCTCAGGGTTCATTTATCACTTAATTTCACCTGTGTAGCTAGTGAAGCCGGAAGGAAGTGGAGAAAAGCCTGATGCTATCTTGCCCGTGCCGCTCCCGATTGAGGGGGGAGGGTTGAGGCAGGGAGGCTGATACACTCTGTCACCATCCATTATTTGCACAGTCCCCACTTTGGCTCCCTTCCTGCTCTTTTCCTCCCTTTCCTCTTACACACTACTTCCACCCTGGCTGTCTGCTTCTCCTTGTTCCCTCCTCCTCAGTGCTGCCTGCCAGCACCTCTAATGCAGTGTTATTTAAGCCAATTCAAACTCCGATGTCCCAGAAGGCCAGCAAGTAACATCCATGAGGTCTGCCTGGTCTGAAGAGAAGGAACAGCCTTGCCTCACCTTTAGCAAACGTAGCCTGGACGTGGGCGGGGTCTTGCCAGGGCTGCCATGCATATATTAGTTTATATTTTTTATGTTCTGTTATCTCCAGAAGCCGAAAATCTGGACTTTCATGAGAAACCTCCAGAAATGTTCAATGTTGGCAAAATAATTCACATTTTACAAAATACTGTGCAGGCCAAAGAAAACATTGACTCCAACAGGCTGCCATTTGCAAGCTCTGGCTGAAACCTATCAATGACCCTCCCAGTGAAGGAGCCGTGGCCTATCACAGAGTCTCAACCCTATCAGACCCAACATGCCTCCTATTTTATAACACATATGTACTGACACCCCTTTGACTAACCTGAAGTAACATTTGTAGATAACATAACCTGTCTCCATACATAATTTTTTTAAAATTCAGTATAATACCCTAAGTTTGATCCAAGGGAAAAGAAAAGAAACATAATTGAAGATGAGATAATAATTTGATGAACATACACAAACACAAAAACACTACAGGATTTCTAGAAGGCCCTTCAAGGAATGGTAACAATCCTGCTTAGGTTCTTTCTTCTGGAATGAGCAGAGTCTGCCCTTGAGGGTCTTTTCTCCTGGCCCCTCCCCCACCCCTTGTAGCAAGAGCTACTACATGGCAAATCACCTGATTTCGGGACCCCTCATGGTTGAGAGATAAAAGTACCATTCTGAGACTACCCATCCCTTTAGACTCCCTCCCCCAAATATTTTTCCCCGTTTTCTGGTCCCTACTCTCCCCTGGGTACCAGATCCCTTCTGAAGTATGGGTGAATGTACCTTAAAATGGCAGAAACATAGAATCAGCATTTCCCCTTTTCCCAGAGTCACCAGTTTAAATGAAAGGCATAAACAGAGATAAGATTTTGCTAACATCGCTAATTGTATTTTAGTATTTGATTTGTTCTTGGAGGGTTAAACCCACTCTTAATATAAATTCATTATGGATGTTTCTCTGCTGCTTATTATGTCCTTACATTCCTATGCTCTAGTAAGCCAAAAAGGCTGTTTCAGTTCTTTTATTTAATCCCCAACTATTTAATTTTCTAAAGCAGAGTTTTTAATGTAAATAATGGCCTTGAATAACAAAGAGTTGCAACAATTTTCTGTTGCTTTCCCAGTTTGTAACTTCTTGTCACCTTCATAAAAATCCTAGGTACACATCACATGTCTGATGAGGACTGGGAAGAGGGGATTCCCTTGCTGTAGCTGAGGAGCTCTTGGGCCAGTTCGTGTCAAGTTTAGCACTTCAGGTGGTGATGTTGTCCAAGATTACCTATTCGAACCAGGGATCAAGGAAGGAGTCTGTGGCCGCATCTGCTATTACAACAGACCCCAGGGCAGTATTGCAATGTGAGATTAAAAGAGTGGTTACAGAAGAATGTCACTTAGAATTTACTTTTGACATGTAGTATGTAATCCATTCTGCCAACATTAATTAATGCTTGTTGCTAATGATTCTCCCTATTTTCATCTTTTAAATTATTTTCTTTTCCAAATGCAATTAAATAATAATATTCAGAACAGGCATTTACATTTGCTGTCTTTCCAGATTCACATTTACAACGTGATCCGGTTTAGATTTCAAGACAAACATGACTCTTGGACATGCAAATTAGTACCGGCCTTCAGGCTCAAATTTGAGTAAATTAGGTCAGGAATAAACTAAATGAGCCTGCCAGCAAGTAGCTTTCATAAAGTGATGTGACTACTTGATATTTAATCTTCTCTGCAACTCCTTGATTACTATAATTTCTTTGCATCTCTATCCTCTCTTCCTTCTGATTCTTGTCACATCCACCCTCCCCCCCCCCCATGTAAATTAGGCTTCTTGGCTGACCTTCCATTGCTGCAAAACCTGGCTTGCTCATGGGACTCAGGAACTCAAGTCTCAGGGACCTGAGAAACCATTTTCTGCCAACTCCTATTGTCCCTGCCTGCAGTGCTGTCCTGTCCTCCCCCACACTCTTTTTTTTTTTTTTTCATCAGACTACCTACAACTCATTCTTCAGGTATGAACATAAGTCACTTCTTTCAAAACTGAATCATGGAGGGAGAAAAGATAAAAAGCAATAATATGGATAGGTTACATTAAATTTCCCCAGCCCAGCTTTTTTTTTTTTTAATTAACCATTTTATTTATAAGATAACGGGGGCCATGCCTATTTGTAACCCACGGATAACCTCGAACATTATTTGACAACAGCTTTAGTTTGTCCTTTTCCCCATTTGTTTTTTTTATTTTTATTGTTATGTTAATCACCATATATTACATCATTAGTTTTAGATGAAGGGTTCCATGATTCATTGTTTGTGCATAACACCCAGTGCTCCATGCAGAATGTGCCCTCTTTAATACCCATCACCAGGCTAACCCATCCCCCCACCCCCTCCCCTCTAGAACCCTCAGTTTGTTTTTCAGAGTCCATCGTCTCTCATGGTTCTTCTCCCCCTCTAATTTCCCCCCCTTCATTCTCCCCTCCTGCTATCTTCTTCTTCTTTTTTTTTTTCTTAACACATACTGCATTATTTGTTTCAGAGGTACAGATCTGTGATTCAACAGTCTTGCACAATTCACAGTGCTCACCATGGCACATACCTTCCCCAGTGTCTATCACCCAGCTACCCCATCCCTCCCACCCCACCCCCCACTCCAGCAACCCTCAGTTTGTTTCCTGAGATTAAGAATTCCTCATATCAGTGAGGTCATATGATACATGTCTTTCTCTGATTGACTTATTTCGCTCAGCATAACACCCTCCAGTTCCATCCACGTCGTTGCAAATGGCAAGATCTCATTCCTTTTGATGCCCAGCCCAGCTTTTGATCTAGTTTTTGATCCATTCTGATTTCTGTGTATAGCCTGGATAAGGGGACATATATTGATAGTGCCCTAGACTCTCTGTGTCTTAACATTTATTATACTTTGTAATTACTCACTGTTTGTCTATTGCTGAGATAACACATGAGCTCTATAAAGGTAAGAGCAATGTCTGTTTACTCTTTTCCCTGCAAGCCTAGCATTATGCCTATTATAGGTACTCAATAAAAATTTGTTGAATGAGTGAATGCTTCCATAGAGATGCCATAGAGCAGAGATCTGCAAACTACCATCCATGGGCCAAATTCAGTCTGTCTTTATAAATAAAGTTTTATTGCAACACAGCTACATCCATTCATTTACATATCTCTGGTTGCTTATACACTACAATGGCAGAGTTGAGAAGTTGCAACAGAAATCATATGATCTGTAAAGCCTAAAATATTTACTATCTGGCCTTTTACAGAAGAAGTTTATCAACCCCTGACACAGAACACAGCCATATCCCTCTGGATTTTTATAAATTCCAATATTGATCAACATGGGATTAATTTAGAAGACCCAGGGAGACACCCATGATAAAAGAGCGTTGGTGGGCCAGAAACTTTTAAACTAAGTCAAAAATAACTCAAACAAGTGGCTCCTTGAATTATTTACAATGTTCTAAGAACAGGAAAGTGATTGAGAAGGAATTTGAAAATGTGGGCATCAAAAGTGATATTATTCACCTACCATCCTAATATTTAGATATGTTAGAACATTCATATCTTGGTTAAAGTCTCTCAAAGGTCAAAATACCATTTAATCTGGTATTTTATCCTCATCAAGGTTTGTTGGCTCATCTAAGGAGTGGGAACATCAGCAAAGGAATGAATTTTATCTTCTTTGTCTCTGAATGCAATGCTGCTTAAAAGAAACAAACATTCGCATCCTATCAATAAGCTAAGAGTTCTTAATGAGGACAAAACTTCAAAATGAAGGTATCCACAACAGCACAGTGGTTTCATTTCCCACCATTCATAGACTTTCACTGTGATACTGGTACAGCCTATGGGCTGGATGCATTGTGTTGCCATAAAATGAAAGAACTAAGACCCATGACCATGAGCTGGATGGTCAGCAGAGTGCCTTGCACGTGGCTCATATCAAGTGGCAGCCACAGCAGCAAGGACGGTACATTGCATGGGCATGGGCTATGCACACAGATCCTTGTAGCCCACAACCCCAAATTATAAACAATCTTAATAACACTATTACCCATTTCACCCCCAAATGCACTGGTACCTACTACTGATTATTTGGGGTAACATTGGATGAAAAACAATCCAAAAGGATGCCTGATTTAAAAGTGATTGCTAACATTCTCCTTCTCTTTCTGGATGGGCATCCACAGATGTTCTTTATCCCACCTGTGAGGGCCATGGCTGGACTTGACCCTGTACAAGGTCAAGTGGTAGAAAGGGCGTAATCTTTGTGAATATGACTGTTTCTAGTGAAGCATGGCTCAGCCACCTGTGCTCTGTGCTATTGGACAAGTCACTTCTCTAATTTCTTGTCCAAGGTCTTCTAAGGTCCACACTTATTCCAAAACTGTGTAATTCTGAGAGCAAAATCACAGCCCTTGCCATCCTGTCACTCTGCCAACCAAACCTTCTCAGTTACAGTGTCCTGTCTGTATTTGCATTTGGTGACATAGTAAAATCGCCTCCTCCCAAGGTCTGCTCCTGGAGAAAAGATTGGAAAAGAAGGAGGTTTCCTCAGAACTTGGCATCAGCCCCAGTGTGGAAGCAGAGACACAGCCCCTGACCAGCCAAGGAAGAAGGGAGTTGGGGGGCAGGGGCTGGCCAAACCTTAGGAAGCATCACCTGGCCCTTCCCTAAAAACCCAGCCTGATCTCTTCTGGTGTGTTGATGAGGAAAAGACCCAACCAAGTAAAGGGGTGTAGCCACTGACATGAGCTAAAACAAAGTTTTCCTTAGAACTCTGAAGTCTGTGTCCTTAGCTGACAAATGAGGCAAATCTTAGTGATTAATTTCTCCCTCCAAGCACTTATTTCTGTCACTTATAAAATTCCTCAGCCTCAAAATTTGCTCATACTTATACTCAAAACTTATACTTATCCTCATACATATTCGTCAGCAATTCTTCCAGTCTTCCCCTTGAGAATACCTAAGTCCATCTGGGCAATAGGCAGTGTGATCTCTCATGCTATGTTTCCATGGAGGAAAAAAAGAGGAAGATAAAAAGGAAATATTTCTTTAGATTTCTTTAATTTTCTTTAAATTTAAATTTCTTTAAATTTCTTCAAGCCCAGCCTCCTAACACTTTCTAGCCCATCTGGGTATCTGCTGGGCTCCGAGGATGTTGCCGTATTTTGGCAGCTACCCTGTATGGAGCAATCACTTGGATTTAATAATAGAAATCAAGCCATCTCACCTATTCTCCCTGATGTACCAATTCTGGTAATAGTAACATTACAGCACCAGGCATGGTGCAGTAATGTGATAAGTTCATGAAGCATAAGCATAATAGAAATAGAGGGAATGCCAATGCCATGCTGTTGAGAGAAAAGAGAAAGTCATTATACATCTTGCAAACTGGTACATGCACAGGACATATTTTCTTCCTTCATTACAAGTTAACAGCCCTCAGATAAATTTACATAATCATTATGACTTTGCCAAAGCTGAGGAAAACGTAAGTCAGCTCTAACTGACGCCTACCTGACATGCTGATAGATGTGTCCATCTGTGAGGATCAGACAGAGACATCTCCCTGCCAGTTACATGGAGTTCAGCCCTCATTGTCAAGAGCAGAAGGTGGGGATGGCATGGTGTACTGGTGTGTCAGGGCATGGCCATTTCTCATCGCCCTGCTGGGCTCTTTACAGTGAGCCTTTGAAAAAGAGCTTTTTGCAAGATTGACTTGTTTCTGAGGAGATATAAATTTGGCTGCCATGCAATTAGTCCTCTTCCACCATACTAAATGAAATAATAAATCCATTTCATTGTGCTCATGTGGCCTTGTTCATTCGCTAATTCAGTGTGAGCTCTGAAAGGTATGAGGTAGAGGTGTGGGCTACATCCACATCTGACCATTCAGAGCATAGGTGAGGCTATGTTGCTATACTTTATGACTATAACCCCTATTTTCCTCAGCATTTGCTACAATAAAATCAATATCACCAGAATAGGGGTCAATATAGTTTAGAAGATTTAGTAACTCCTGGGAGTTACAATATGTTCTAATAACTCTCCAGAAAGATCCTCTGTGCTGGAATTTGTAGGAGCTGAAACTGAGTTTTGAATCAGTGGCTATTTCATTCCTAACATAACTTTAGAGGGTCAAATGTGTTCTTCAATGTGTTCTCCTCTTGGACAAAGGACTTTGCATGACGAAAAGTACCGGGGGCATCTTGGCAATTAGGTGATGTCTGCCACTAATTGTCTCACTAACAAATCTGGAAAACCTTTGTAACCATGACCGTGATGTGCTCAGCTGAGTTCTCTCCCTTTCACCATCAAGAATATTAAACTATGGAAAGTTTGAAGCTCTGGGTTCCCCATTTTGGTTCCCATTGAACATGTCCTGACTTCCAAATGCATTGTAAGCCTCCTGGAGACATGAATCAAACCTGTATTAATTTGTATGTCCAAGACTAACAAGTCTGGGCTTTGGCACTGGCTCTGTCACTAATGAGTAGACTCTCTAAATCTCATTTTCCTCAACTATAAATTAAGAGAATGAACTATTATTTGATCTATTACGTTCCTTCTAAATCAGATATTTGATAGGTTTATGATTATCACTTATTATGCAACATGATGATAAAATGACAAATGGGCTTATATATTCCTGCAAAATCTCTCTCTCTTTCTCACACACACACACACACACACACACACACACACACACACTCAGCAGCTGCTGGAGAGAAAGAATTTTTAAAGAAGGGGTCCCAACTGGAAATCTCTGTTTGCCTAGTGAGGGCTGCTCTTAATTAGCTGACCCCTGGACATGATACGTATTTCAGGCCTTTTCCCTGACAGGACAGCAGGGTCAGCCTAGTGCTATTTTTATTTCTTACTCTGAAGTCTTACTGCTTGTTTATGATAGTTTCGTATTTATATAAACGTTACCTTTTTTGTCCTTACCCATTTACTGTGCAAAAAAGAACAGTTGTAGTCTAAAAGTCAAGTGAAGATTAGTAAAACAAAATTTGCCAAGATTGGAGAATACTCAGCTTCCTTCCAATGTAGACATTCTATAATAGTTGAATGAACAGATGACTAAATAAATGGATTCCCCCATCTGAGCCCCAAAAGCAGGTGTGAGGCCTTCTTGGCCCAGAGGGGAGATAACTTAGGTGCCCAGCTGGTGATACATAATCTTCCCTTCTTTACCCCAGGCTTCCAGCCACGTTCATCCATCCTTCCATCACCAGGTACTATCAGGTGATTGACGGATGAGGGCTATTCTCTGGTGTAGGAGCCACAGGTAGGTCCGCTCCTTAGAAGTGTTACACATCTGCAGTGGACTCTTCCCCGGTCCTCTGGCATGCCTGGCTGTGCCCTTTAGGAGGACTGCAGCGTCCAGACACATGACAGATATAGAGCTATTGTTTCGGAATACAGCCCTGTGGCAGAGAGACTTAGAAAGGCCAGCTGGGTGCTCACACGTATACACTCTCCTTACGGGGATGCTCCCCTGCGTCCAGGAGGGAAATGGTCTCTGTGTTCCCTAAAATTGCAAATCATTCCGCTTTTATTTTGTCTTAGGACACCATGTGTGTCCAGAGCTGTTAACATAGTCCGAATACAGAGAGCAGTTCATAAGAGCTTGTGGAAATGCATTAGCAGCTTTTCAGCGAGCTGAGTATAGTGTTAAACAGCATGCTTTGACAATTCTGAAAATTGGCCCATGTGTACGAAAAGCTCAACATTCCCAAAGCTGGATAAGGGGTAGAGGAGAGAAAATTGTTGGTGGCTTAATCAGTTATAATCTAAAGAGAGGAGGTGTGCTTTGAAGGCTTTCCCCCCCTAACTTGAATAGCTAAGTGGTAGCTAATAAACTAAAGTGACACCAAATGCCATGTTCTGCCCCTAGGGCTTTTTCCAACAGCGAATGCCACACCTAGGCACTTAATTTAATTGTGTGAAAATGCAAAGCAGGTGAGGAGAAAGAACTCCTGTATTCAGAATCTCCCACCTTCTTCTGCCAGCTTGTGATGAGTACCTGAAGGGCAACCATTGAGTACTTAGACCAATGGAGGACACAAGATCAGTTTTGTGCATGCAATATCTGTCTGTCCCAGCTCAGACATCCTTCATGTCCTCTCTACTGTCCTCCAATCCCAGCTCCTTGTGTATAAACACTGCAAACTCTTTCATTGTGTTGGGGCTCCCACCAACGCAGACAAATTGTTAATAAAAATAAACAATTGCCTGCCTTATAACTGGGATAAGAACCAAGGGTCAGCTTTCAACTTTAATGTTTTTATTTTATTTTTTCTGTACTTTGAGTATGTATAGATGCTATGGGTTATGTTCATGAGTTAGCTAATTTGCATCATTGACCTGTAAATAAGGCAACCAGAAGCAAAGTTTGATGTACTTAATTAGTAAAGAAAAAGATAATCACAAAATCAAAGTAGGTGTTGATTTTGTTCAAGTAGGTGTTTCCCGGCATTTCTGTTTACAGTGAACATCAGCCAGCCTCTTGGGTTGGTACAGACAGCTCATTTGGGCACATTAGCAGGCCATATGCTTACCATGGACATGGAATATAAGTAACATAAGGAAAAAAGTACTCTGAGTTTTAGATATGTCTTCTCATTCCACAATCCCAAACATTAGTTTTCATTGTAAAATGTGCTACGTTAACTTAAAGCTTTAAAGAAATCACATCAAGACTCCAACTTCTCTTTCAGAAGAAATTCTCGTGGAATAAGCCTTATCGTATAGCCTGGAAATTTCACCATGCTATTTCATCAATTCCAATGATTTCTTTTTGTTTTGTTCCCATTTTAACATCTCTGAAATTATCATAGGTGTTGCAGTCAAGGGTGTCAAATCTAATAAAATGTGGTAATAAAACTGTCTATAGTTGGTTGTGTAACAGCCTATCAGGGGCACACCCGCCTCGGGGATGGGTGAGGTGGAGACCAGAGGGAGGATGGCAACAGCCTAACAGCATGGGTAGCCTGGTGAGCACCAGGAGGCAGGAGCAATGTCAGAGACCCAAGGAAGTGCAGCCCATAGAAGAGCACCAGGAGCAAAGTCATTTGGAAATCTAAGCTAATCCCTGCTCAGCGGGAAGCCTGCTTCTCCCTCTCCCATTCCCTCTGCTTGTGTTCCCTCTCTCACTGTGTCTCTCTCTGTCAAATAAATAAATAAAATCTTAAGAAAAAAAAAAGCCTTAAAAAAAAAAAAAAGGAAATCTAAGCTAAGCAGTGAGGAGCACAGAGTCTGAAGAAGGTCCAAGAGAGAGATAAGGCAACAAATGTAGTGTTTAAGGGCCTGCCCAACCCTATGTCTTGATTAAGTGACTTGCTTAGTGTTACACACATAATCTCTATGTGCCTCAGATCATCGCCTCCAAGATAGAAAAAATGCAGAACCCTTCAGAGGGTTTGGTAAGGATAAAATGGGATCAAATATGGAGGAGGACATTGTACAAACAGGTGACTTCTGAGTGTTCAACAAATGACAACTACTATTTTTCATATCATGTAGCAATTTTCTGGCCTTGCTTTTGAGCTTGCTTATTGTTTCTGTATTTGCAGAACTTAGTACAAATGAACCTGGTTCAAATCCAGTAAGGAAAAGGCAGTTGGTGGTGCTTAACTGATGTGGGCAACGTTAGGCAGAGGATCAGAAGGATTGATGGCGAGCTTCCTTCAAGCAATGAAGAATATCTGTCCAGGGAAATACCCAACTGAGGTTATGGAGTAGGCACCCCCATTCACAAATGATTTACTAGGACTATTGGGTGGTCTGATTACACGATGCATTCTGTTTCCATTTAACAGTAATTCCTGTTCCACACTCATTTTCAACTATAGGATGTAATTATCCTTTTATCCAGGGTCTCTGCTTCTCTTCTACCCTCATTATTGTCTTTTCTGTGCTCTCTTATGGGTTTCTCTGATGGGCCTAAAGTTGGTAATGAACTGCAATGCAAGTTAGCCATAAAGGCTGGGTAGCGAAGAGGGTAAGACTGTGGTCTAAGGTGAGTTCTTAAGTTATTACTGGTAATTCATGACATTTTTCCCTCGGTTGGTATGGATAGTTAGGACTTGGCTCAACATCTAAGTACAAAGAGGTCATTTTTGTTGTTGTTTTCTTTTTACAAAATACAGTAGTTTGAAAATAACCTCATTGTGTGGTGCCAGTGAATGTAAATTACAACTATTCAGATTGACCATAAAACCAAAACAGATGTTAGAATAGCTTGCAGTTTGAATTCTTCTTTGAACTATAGATACTGCTGTAATCAACAAGAATTTCTGAATGTTTCTGGAGACACAAAGATAATATGTATAGACAGAAACATTTT